AAAAAAAAAAAAGAAACAGAAACAACTTATTTTTGCAGTCGAGCTACTATTTCGCATTTCGCATTTTGCATTTTCGTTTTTTTTTTGTAACACAAACTCATACTTAAGCCGATTAGAATCTCCATATAATTTACAGTTTTAATCGAAATGTCAATGCAAACCATTTTAAAATTTTAGTTTATTTAATACCAAAGAACAATATCGGCTAATCGTATTCAAGAATTGCATACAAATAAATGCAATTGAAGTTCAACATTGCAATTAAAAAAATCGCGTATGATGTCTTGGTCAAAAGCACAGCTGCAACGGAATACTTGATGGCCAGCGGCAAATGTTTTGCTATCTTCAAATTTACGAACCCAAAATTTGTATTAGCTGTAATCGAATAATGTTAACGAAGGTATTAAAAGTTTTTGTTGTTTAATTACTGGTATGGTATGCGTTCGCAGGTCGTTAAATGGCATTCTAAAATATACGCAATACTCAATTGAAGCTCTTTAGCACCAAATTTGGTGAAGAATGCAAATTTTATGAGAATTTTTGTGCTCTTTTTTTTCGTAAGGTTTTGGAGTATTACAAGGCTGCGTATACACATAGCTTATTTAATTGCATGCTTCGTGCGGTGCTGAAAATTCCGGCTCCCGAAATCTACAATCCGAATATGAATACGATTTCACTTGTTCAGGAAAACGATAATGATCCTTGATGAATAAATGATGAATAGTGCCAGCTGATTGAAGAATGGTGAATAATGCACGATAGAAAGTGGTGAGGACGAGTTATAAGTGATGGATGAGAACTCCGAATTTACTTGTTTTGGAGGAACTCACCTCAGAAAATGGTTTGCATGGAGAGGATAATCAAAGCGATGGTGATAGATATTACTTTTCGAATAGATGGCAACCCTAATCAAAAAATATTTTCACGCCAAGTATTAATACTTAATTTAACTTGTGTAAGGGCTAAATAAATAAGACTTTTCAAAAAGGTGGCAACAATCTTAAATATTATTTTTAACTAAAATCTTTTTAAAGCTTTTCGTCTGACACTATGATAAATTTCAATTAACTGATGAACTTGCAACTCTCCTAAAAAGAGTTCAGAAATAAATCCTTTTCAAATCAATTTCGCTTGATACCCAACTTTTAATATTTCATTTATATTATTATGTAATTTGAATTTAACATTTTTCAACAGGTGGCAACCCTCTTCAAACACCTTACGTTCTACATGCTCAAACTAAATATTTCCTAAAACTCGTTTATGTAACATCCATATTTTAAAATTTCACATGACTTGTGTATAAGTTAACTAAATTCGATTATTGCAACAGGTGGCAACCCTCTTCGAAATATTTTCAACTAATACCTCCTTAAACCGTATGCGTATGGCACACATAAGGTAATATATATTTCAATTACTTTAATTAAAGTTAAAATTGATTTTTTTAACAGGTGGCACCATTCCTACATTAAGTTAAGAAATAAAGGCTTTTCGAAACCATTTCGATTGATAACCATATTGTGATAGTTGATTTTTTTTTTTCTTAATAAATTGAACTAATTTTTTTTTAAAGGTGGCTACCCTTTTCGAAAAAATAAAACATAATTGTCCTTTAATTTGATAAAAAGAATCCCTTCGCGTATTACATATGTACGTATATACATAGACGATAGTTTAATACTGAATGATGAATAACGGATGACTTAAGATGGGTATTTATTTATCAAAGGCTACAAAAAAATATAGCTTGGAGAATTGTCATGGATGACTAAAAATAATGACACCGATTTTGAATAGTGATGCTTAGTTAGTGCTTTTGATGCCAATTACGTCGGAAAATGTGCATTGGGTATACAAAAGTCGCCCTGCTTCTTCAATTCGAATTATTTAATTTTATTTTTTATTTATTTTTCTATCAGTTAATTTATTTCAAATACTTTTATTTAAAGCTATTTTAAATTAAAAATTATTCACCAATAAATTTGTGAAGGCCACCGATCAGTGGTTTGTTAACATTGCGCTGGTGCGTATTTTACCATAAAAAGTGTTGTTGTCTTGCAATAAACGATTACTTGTTAAGTGTGCATGTTGTTGTTGTTGTAGCATCTTGTTTGCAAGCTTAGTGAAACATACTCGCGCAGCGATTAGAATTGCAGAAAAAATGCAGAAAACTTGTACTTGCTTGCAGAAGAAACATGTTTCACAGCGGCAAACGCTGATGACTCTATCAACTAGACACACATGTGTGTGTGTGTGTGTGTGTGTGTGTGTATTGCCAATGTGCAGTGCACAAACTTATGACAATGTGGCGATAGTAAAAATTTCTAAATTATTTGCGTAAATCAGCGCATGCCAAATGCTAGTTTACGATTACTTTACTGTGTACTTATTTACTTACATATGAGTATTCTTGTGCAATAGTGCCCCACCCGCGAGCCTGCTTGGATTTGCAATAAAGCGCACAAACAAGTTAAATTGCTGCCCATGTCCGTCGCTGAGCTGTTGTGCTCGCCAACAACGTCGCCGTCATCGTTTTGCAAATTAGCTGGAGTTGCAGCAGTTTTACCTATCTACTCAGCAGCAAGCAGCTTTGTATGCAACTTAAGTGGACGCCATGGCGTATGAGTACGAGTACGAGTACGCATGCGCGCACGCGCTTGCATTCTGCTTGCATTAATGCATGACGCTGCCCATCGATCACGCTTTGGTACAATATTTGCGATTACCAATTTGCAATAGTACATCAGCTTCTGGTCACAGCTTTGAATTTTGTATGCATTTGCTGGCTTGTTTGGGGGTTTCAAGCTGTTGCTAAGTCCAATTGATCAACGCTGGCGGCGCTTCTTCTTTGGCACTGCCTTATAAGCTGCTATGACATTTGCAGATTCTAAACGGCTGCCGCCATGGCGCATGCGTTGACGACGCGTGTCATGCATGTTGCTGCTGCATTGGATCGCTCAAGACTATAAAATGCATTTGCAGTGCACTGGAAAAATTATTCTTGCCTACCTTCGAGTGAGCAAGACGTGCAATTACCGCATTAAATCGGTAGCGCTAAGTAGTTGTGAAAAAAATAACAAAAATAAAAGAAGGGAAAGGGACATCAGCACACGCAAACGCTTGAACGTTGATAAGTAAAAAAGGTGTTAGTTCTTTGCCAATATGAAATTGGTAAGTGAAAGTGAATGTGAAAGTACACATACATACATATGTACATATGCAGCTTTACAAGGACTCTAGTGTATTTAACTTGCGATTACGCATTTCTTCTTCTCTTCAAACAGATGCTAGTCGTGAGTTTTTTGTGCCTACTCGTCGGTAGTTTGGCTGCACCACAAGCACCAGTGGAAATTTTAGAACAAGAAGTGGATAATATTGGCATTAATGGTTATAAATTCAGGTAAGCTTTTGGTTGTATAACGCATTTCAATGCAATATTGCTTTGTTTGCCGGATATGCGCCAAAAAATATTGTCTAGAGTGGCTTCTTATAGGCATAGTAAGAAATTTGGGAGCGTATGAGTTGTGTGAGTGTACGTCTGAGTTATATTTTATCGGTGTTAAAGCTTTCCTTTTTTGGACATCCTCTTGGTAAATGGGCACGGGAAGCCAAGTGATGCGTACATTTGAGATAGAGGATGCATTCAGAAGTTGTAGGTATAATACATTTTAACTAGTGTTGGGCAGCCTCGATACCTAAAGTACTCAGAACTCGATTCTCAAAAGGATCGACAACTCCCGATTTTTAAAAGTATCGATACTGATTACTCCAAATAACTCAGTACTCAAAAAAGGAACGCGAAAGTAGTCGGTACTCACAAAAATACTCTTTTCCAATAATCGCTTTGATACATGTACTTAGGATCGATTCAAAGTAGTCAGTATTAAGTGTCGAATGTACTTAAAAAGTACTGAGTTTTATTTACATTTAACGGTATTCAGAAATGATTGCACTCAATTTGCAGTTTCAATAAATTTTAGGTAGGTACAATACACAAGTACAGTTAGCCATTCATTTGACGTATAATTCAGGATTCATATATTATTTGTAATAAAATACTGCCAGCTTGTGAGATTTCTACACTAAGCATTGAAAATGTTACCAACGTGTGTATATTTAAAGAAAGTACTCGGTACTCTGAAAAATACCCGATCCTTAAAAGTATCGATACCGAAGAAATCGATCCTCAAAATTACTCGATACTTCCCAACACTAATTTTAACCCTCTAACAATTTTAACCCTGGACATTTTTGTCTTCAGGGATATAATGGGTTAAATCGTACCACAAAAATAGTTGTCACAAAATTATACTACAAGTCTCTGAATACACCACAGTTCAAAATTTACCTCCCGGAATACAATACCTAAGTCAAAACTGAAAATGGGTTTATGGGCTTATTTTATAAGTTATTCAAAATTTGAACTAAAAAGTCCTACAGAATGGATTTTTATGGGGTTGGTGTGTAAGGAAAGAATGCTTTGTTTTTGAAAAATTTCTCGATTTATTGTGTATATTTCTTATTGCGCACTCCAATTCCGCAAGGCCTGGCTTCGAGCCCAGTTTCCGACCAACATAAACAAAAACAAAAAAAAACATGAACCAGTTTTTCTAATAGCGGTCGTTTGAGTATATTCTGCCATGAAAAACTACATATGTATTTTTGTACATTTGGGTGGTCTAAAAAAAAATCATGTACCCATTTTAAGGTCTGAATTTCAACCCCAAGGATTTTTGTATATAACAACAAAATATCCGAAATCCGAAAACATTTAGAGGTCGCTCAAAACGCTCAAAGTTTTCTACGCATTTTATTTAGGAAAAAAAAGTTTTTCTTAGAAATAGTATACATTCTTGAAAATCAGTATTTTTCGATCAGAAAACCATCATATGGGGTGAGAGCATTTAAATTCGGATTTTATTTTTTTTGGACCACCCTAATGCAAATACACACATATATGTTCTCCCATCACCTCTTTGTTAAAGAATCGATCTTTACGAATGTTTTTTCGTTAAGTTAAGGAAAGTCTTACAGTGTTGCAATGCAAATTTCATAAAAACTGGTTAAGAAGTTAGGAAAAATATTTTTTTAATTAAAAGTTTTTATGAAAATTCTTGATAATGGTCACGTTAATGACAGTACGAAATAAAATTGAGAAAAGCAATGATTCCATAACATTTTTATTGGAGGCCATAATATATGAAGCGCACCACTGGCGGTTCTGTTTTGACCTAGAAGTAATTAGTTTCCCCTCCTATGATTTCCTTGCACATGGAGAGGCAACCAATATTTCAAAAAACAATAGCAAGCCAGAGCTGAATGACAGCGCTGCTGGTATGCAAACGAAATGCCTGGAAAAAACTCTGACTAGCAAGTCAGGTGTCTTATTTATTTGTGAGGGATTTATTTACGGTTGTAGTCCGAAACCCTCTTAAATTAGTGCCAGATTTATTCCTTTTTCCTTACTGATGATAGACTACTTCAAAAAAAAATCTTCGAATGATTTCTTAAACGTCGACACAAACTATGGATTAATTCGCGAAAGGTTACAGATTTTTAAGTTAATCTGATCTTATTTAATAGGTTCCGGCATAAATATAAATATTTAAGAGAATATTCAAGACTGCTAAGCAAGCTTCATGTCTTTTAGATTGAAATTCGGTTCAACAATGTAGCGACCAAAATAATTCAACTTCAAATGATAGCTAGCGTGAAAGATAGGATTTCTATTTTCAAATATATAATTCGTGTGAGAGAGTATATTTTTGGAAATCATTTTATCATCCTAATTCCTATCTATGAAGGAATTTTTGTACCCTCCAAAACATATTTGATGCAAACTTTTTTGAAATGGCCATTCAATGGTTTCAAAGGTCACCGAAAGCGGTTAAGATAAGTGAGCAACCCTTGCAGAACCGACTGAGTTCATTTTATGCCATCATTGTAAATTTTTTTGTTGACATACGGCGAGGAGAATGTAAATGGGGAAAATACATTTTAGCAAGTTTTTGGCTATTTCTCTTGTTTTAAAAATGTTTTTCATTTTTTTCTGAAAATATACATACCTATGTAGCTTTTAAAACAAAATTTCAAACTATTCATCAAAATTTGGAAGTGTTTAATTCGATATTTTTAGAATTTTTTCTGAGTATTCAGTCTTGAAGCCCATTACATATAAAATAAGGTGCACGTCTGAAGTAGCTTGGATTTACCGTTGATTTTAGACAATTCTTTGTCCACGTATTTTCTTCTATAAATGTTGGAAAATTTTTTGGTATGGAGAAAATAAGCAACATCTTCCACTTTACTATACCCAAACTGAATGGGCTACAAAACTGCGTACTCAAAATCTTTCCAGGAAATCTAATTAAAATGTTCAGACTTTTGATGAAATTTGGCGAATTTCATTAATTTTTTCATACATGGTTGTTGTTAGATAGCGAGCCACACTTTCATAAAAAATTAATAAACATTGAATAAACGAAAGGCAAATAGCGAAATAATGCCAAAATGTCTTTTCCCTACTTATATTTTCGCCACTGTAAGCCTGTAGTACAAAGCATTTAGTAGAAGTGACTTTTATACAGAAAACCCGCATAAATTTAAAAATTTTGGACATTAACCCTTTTCTTCCCATGACAGCCAATTGGCTACCAAACGTTATTTCCGTCTTGGAGCTATGGGTGTATTCAATAAATAGGAATTGTTTGTAAAAACATGCATTTTTAAAAGTATATTGCATATTTGATGTCTATCATGACTACGGTGACCATATTAACCAGCCTAAAATAAAGGACTTTTTTTTCAAAATGATTTGGGAATACGCACATACAACTTGTATGATAAAAGTACCTTACCCATATCGTAATTTAAATCAAATATTTACCAGTTAATTATATTATTTGGTTGTGTACGTTGCCCTGCTGTAGCGAAAAATGAAGCCAAATTCTTTTCAAGGATTTCGCCGTCCCTTGCTACCAAAATGCGTTTACCGTAATTCATACTGTACGACGAAGCCAGCACACAGTGGTTAAAAATTTTAATTTAATGTTCATAATCCACCGGAGCCTTAATTTTTCAACCAATTTTTACTAAAAGCCAAAAAAAATATTTATATTGGTGAATATTTATTTTATAACTGGAACAGGAGAATACATTTTCTTCAAAATTGCTACTTTTTCTGCATTTTGTAATAAAAAATTTAATAGAATTGAGTAAAATTTCAGAAATCAGACTGATCTCTTGCAAATGTTTTAAGCCTTCATAAAAAAATAAAAATTAATCAAATTAAGTGAAAAATGGAGGCTCCAGTGAATTATGAATACTAAATGCCAGTTTTGAACCACTGTGCAGTAGGGGTTTATTGTTCTCTTTCAGTGGAACTGGAAAATCAGCGTGCAACACGATCCTGTGCTTTATAGATTGTACAACGATTACCGATTAAGTAGAAACCCTTAAGTGGGGTGCGAAACAAACTGTCGAAGGTTTTCATTATATTTTATAAAGTACATTTTTATTTTTCATATTCTGCAGTTAAAAATTTACTTCTGAAAAATGCAGAGACGATTTAAAGGACAGTTTAAGAAATAAAGGACAAAGGCGTCCTTTATTTTGAAAAAAAATATAAAAAACAGGGTGTTAAAATAGAGGACTTTCCTTTAAGACCTTAAAACTGCCAATTTTGAAGATTATTTTAATACAAACTCAAAATATTTTTCCTAAGTCAAAAAAATTCGGGAAGGGTTTAAGGTTTTTAGAGCTTGATTAAGTAAATTTGTTAGCTGAGTACCCTTGACAAGTGGATAGGACCTCGATTTATGTTAAAATTATACGTTGTGCCGTAAAATTAACTCGGAAACTCGGATCACCCTGGCCGTTACATTTTCACGTTGTGTGGCCTTTTGAATTTTTTTGAACAATATGAAAAAGTCATTAAGTGGATTCTAACGGAGACACTAAACGTCCGAGCATTTCCTAGTAACATTGGTGTATACTTCATATCTTCGTGAGCTTAAAGATTGAATATACGTTCGACAACATTAGGCAGACAAAGTATGCATAGACATCTTTGCAGTACCGAGTAAAGATGACCATATCCACAATCTCTAGGCGTTTAATTTCAGATCATAGTACTACATACAAATATAGAATTTTTCGCGCGGTTCCGATGAAGCACGAGCGTAGATGTTTAAACCTTAGTCTTGCAAAAGTTGTCAACTGGTAAGCAAATACTGAGATAATTCCACCTAGAAACAGTTGCAGTAATAGGGGCCCGAAACGATTTTAATTCGTTCCGCATAGGTTCCCATTGGACAAAATCCATTTACGGTTCCTTTCAGAATACAGAGTGGGCGCTTAGCCAGCTGAAAAATCTCTCTTGCTCGCTTGCGATCTATTAAGGGGACTTTCGGCCTCTTTTCTAGGAGCAGTCCACAGGTAGCCTTAGGAACTTTTATATACCCTCTGTGTCGGAAAATATTACCTCAGCTTGATTGAAAGTCTTTAAAACCGAACGCAATCCATAGCCAGTTTCAAACGCAATCCACGCCACCGTGGAGCTCTAATTGCCACTTGACTTCCGAAGTAGATATTTACCTTATTAATCGGTATTACGCAAGTATGTATGTAGCCGGTCAACTGACCTCTTATGGTGGCCCTATCGATTTGATATACGCTTCATAAATCAGGAAGCCTAAACCTAATATTAACAGAGTCCACCCCAAAACAACCCTCCGCCAACTCCATTATACAACTTTAACCTTTTAACCCTTTATTCCAGGGGTAGCCACTCTTCGTTTCACGCCATACAAAGAATCGTGACTACGATTAAGCTGAGTAAAATTTTTAATGAATTTTTTTTCGCTTAAATTTCTTACTTACAGCTACAAACTGAGTGATGGCACAACACGTACCGAGGAGGCAGTACTCAACAATGCAGGCACCGAAAATGAGTCCCTATCAGTGCGCGGCAGTGTTTCTTGGGTGGCGCCCGATGGACAAACTTACACAATCAATTTTGTGGCGGATGAAAATGGCTTCCAGCCAGAAGGCGCACACATACCGAAATAAGTTGATGGATTGGAGTGAGAATATTTAATTGAGAGCAAAATCGTGAAAGTGTAAATATGAAACAGAGTTTTAGTAAAAGTTATTGCGTTTCTTCGATACAATCGGAGGCAATGCCAAAAAAAAACCCAATATGCAAAATTTACCTATAAACACAATTTTACATGATGTTGATGATGATGATGTTGAGGATAAGGAAGTTGTAGAAAATAATATATGTGTGTGTGTGAAAAAACTACCTAATAAATAAAAAACAAAACTTGTAACGGTCTCAGTCAGTGTCAAAAATATGTATGTCTTTTATTTAAAAGTGTAATGCAGTGCAAATGAAATACAGCAAAAAATAGTCCGATTTCGAAAAAATTACATATGTACATAAACATTGGTAACTTAAAAATATTTTTTATACAAAATTTGATAGAACAAGTCTTTCGAGACTGTTTCCGGTTAAAAGGGAAAACTATCATTTTTCTTTTATAGCAATTTTATATTAAACGCTCAGCCAACAGCAGTAACCGACATAAATATAAGAGTATTATATCCCCCAAAAACAATTCAGCTCTTACAAACCTCAAAGAAGGATTAGTTCCTAAGTATACCCCCATTTAAGCCTTTGGCAAGTGTTCACCCACCGGCTGGAAACCATTCTCGTCGGCAGTGTAGCTCACTTGATAGGTGACACCATCGTCCCCCACATATTTGTATGAGCCCTTTACAACGATCGCTTCATCGTCGGTGCCAACGTTCTTCAGCTGACCCTCTTCGTCATGCTGAGTGCCATCGCTTGTCTCGAAACCGTATTTGTAGCTTTCGGGCGCAATATCAGCATCCTGACGCAAAATTTCGACGTGTTGTTCATCGCCTGGCGCAGCCATGGTAAGTGCAAACAGCGCAATGAAGACGAAAGTGAGCGCGTATTTCATTGTAGTAGTAGTTGTTCAAGAAGTGTCCACGTAAAATATTTACAATTTTGAATAGCTGAAGTATGAATGAGTACTTTGTGCCGAGTGGGAAACTATTTTCTGACTGTCAAATATAAGTCAACGCAGCTTTTTTATATACGCGTCTACCAAATGAATTTGGCCACGAATTAGAGCAAAGGTGTTAATTTTAGAAGAACTACCAAAAGAGTTTCAAAATTCGTTATTCACAAAAAAATTAATATATAAGTATGTAAGTGCTACTTTGGGTATTTTCTTTGGGGTGATATTGTTTCTGTTAATTAATTTGTAAATATCAAATAACAGACTGATTGGCGCTATTTTGGTTTTGAATGATACATATGTAGAAGTAGCTGAAAAAAGTATCAATAAAAAACTTTAAGATTCCACGAGAGTAGCTCACTTATATGCACTTAGTAAATAGTTTGTATCAGTGATGGGCACACTTAAATTCTTTTGTTTTCACAGTACGTGTTTTGAGTACCTGTTTGGATATTAAATACCCAAATTTTTGTTTTTTTTTTAAATTGGCAATTGATAACATGCTGAACTGTTTGTTGTTTCGGGTGTGTCAAGGTGGTCTCCGGATTTTTGTGGGATTTTTTTCCAGACATGTTGTGATTCTTGGTGTTTTACTTTGAGGAATTTTTTTGAGAACTTTGGATTTTTATTTGGTTTTAGTCTCAGAACTTTTCAATACTCTTCGCGTTATATTTCTTGGATTTTCCGCACACTTCGGTACTCTATAGGATGATTACATCTATGCTATCAAGGAGTGTTGTAACACTCTTCAAGTTTTGACAACGGAAAACATGGAAAAACTCTGCTGTATACCAAGTCACTGTGGCATCGAGGGAATCGAAGTCGCCGAAGAACTGCCGACAGAAACCACATCATCTTCCCTTGCGGGTCTAGAAACATTATGTGGACTTAGTTGGTCTTCTTTAAGATTTGCAACTACCGAGTGGGTAAACGCAGAACGCAGTAAGTAAAACAGGCCAGATTGTCTAGGAAGACAATAGTCATTTAAATAGAGCCAAGAACAATAAACTGCTCACTAGCTATCTAATCAGTTTGCGTTTTCACAAGCACCGAATTATCCTGACCCCGTAGGATGGAGATGTAATGGGACGTAATGCCAACCTTATTTTAAAAGCGAAGAAACACGTGTGATTCTCGTTCGTTGCCAAGGCCTACAGGCCAATTTTGGTAACTGTCTTTCAACTCACCATAATCTTCCGAGAGGCAAAAGTCTTTCCTAAGATAGTTAATTGCCTATTATCACAACTACCTTGAAAGCTCTTTACTGTCTTTCGAAAGACAAATTCAAAGATCTGCCAACGCATTGAGCTGTTCGCCTTTTAGCACAAAGTTTTTCAAAATAACATTAAAATATAGCAAAATTAAATAAAAATACTTTAAAAAATGAAATCAATTTAAAAAATATATATATTTTTCTTTTAGAAATAATAAAATGTAAAAATCTAAGGAAATAAATTAGAAAAATAAACAAATTAAATAAAGAAGAAAAAATAGTGGGTACTTAAATATTAAATGAAAGAAAAAAATTGTTATCTGTGAAACATAATCTAAAGATTAAAAGAACATTTAATTAAAAAAGCGTTGTAAAAAGGCAAACAAAAAAAATATCAAAAAAAAATCCTAAAGAGTAAATGAAATAAAAATTATATTTCTCTTAAAAAAAAAATAAAGTCAAAAATAAAATTGAATTGAAAAAATTTTTTTATTTAAAAATTATAAAAAAATCGTTTTTAAAAATTTTACAAAATTAAAAAAAAAAATTATTTTTAAAACAATCAAATATTAAAAAAATATAAAT